TTGACGGAATCCTTGGCAATGATTTCACTTTCGAAGGGTTCAAAACTGCCGTGGTGCCCCCCCCCCCCAATATTCCTCGAAATACAAGCACTCCCACCCTAACTCTCTTCTACCACTGAATTCCCGTGTTACTCTGCGAAATTTAAATCACGTGGTTCTCGCGCTTCGTTTTACACAACTATTGTTTATTTGGAAAACTATTACGGTACTCTACCAGATATGTTGCCGGATATTAGGTTGCAACAGTCAGCGTTTATGTATTTCAAATTTCGACCCCTTATTTTGGCATGATGGAGTCTGGCTGTGGATCTGTAGATACGGTAGATTTTTTTACCAATTTGAACTTTTAGTGTGGCAAATGGAGGGCAAAACAGTAATTTTTAGCAAAGAACAGATAGTCAAACGGACTGATCCCCATTGAATGGTATGCGTTGAAAGTTGAAAAATCAACTCTGAATTAGTCGAGACAAAAATCGCTGCTCAACTACACCTGGTCAGCACACACTGAACTCTTGTGCCCACTATGCACGACGTTGTGTACACAACTATAGCTCCATAAAGTACTTCTTTAAGTATTTAAATAAAGGTTTATGCACAATGCAACGCAGGGTTTGTTCAGTGTGCACGGAATTGCCGTGAAAGATAGAAGTCTAGTTTTTTTTTAAAAAAAGTTAAGGAGTACCAGACTAGCAGCACTTGTTTACACTGGTCCGAAAAGTTTAGTATATTTTTGTCAACTTTGGTAGAGGTTGGTTTGAAACTTCAGCCACGTGCCCAGTGCACAGTGTTGTGCTCCCAGGTTGTCGCGCACTTGGAGACTTGTGGCAGTTCCTCTCCTCCGATGCGCTCCGCACTACACACTACCACCAAGCAAGTTGTTGGCATCGTCGGCGCCGCCGTTGTCCCAGGCGGTCGTTTGCCAAGTCATTCCAACGCACAATGTTTTTTCTACGCGCGCGCGCACACACACTTGCCTCTGTTCGCGCGTGCAGCTCCACGGCGGAGCGCCTGGCGCGTAGGCAATCCGGCTGCTGGCGCGCGCCCGCGTGCGGCCGGCTGGCCTACCCTGGCAGGCGGCCGCCGATGCTGCAAGGATTAGGGTCCTGGAAATTTTCGGAAATTTCTTATTCTCGATGCAGCGTCATTGCCTTCTGCCATATGAGCTGTTGAATGACCTGCCCCATTATGGTGATTTAATTTTTGTTCGGCCGCAATGCGGTCACCGTCAGCGCCGCCAGGCATAGAGTGCGACGTGGCGGTGGTGAGTCAGCCGTGATGCGCGTCGCCACGATGAGCCCATCATGAGCCCTGCGGTGAGCCGTAGTCGTCACCTCTTTTCTTTTTCCTGGAACCCACCCGGGTGACTGGCGGGTCGGCTGCGGCGGCTCACGACTCACTGCGGGGGAATGCCCCGTGCCTCGCCACCACTCATCCCCTTCGCTCTCTGTCTCTCTCGCTCTGCGGCGGATGAGCTTACTGTCACAGCCCACCTTCACGACTGTCAGGCTGACTGGCGCCTAGGGCCAGAGAGAGAGAGAGACAGGCGTGCGAGAGGGGGAGAGAGGGGGGGGAGTAGCCAGCCGAGGGGCCTGGCAATGGCATCGGTACACGGCCGTAGGCACGCCTGGCACACTGACAGCATACCATCGCTGCTGCCTCCCCAGTGGGGGGCCGGGAGGGGGGAAGGGGGGCCTGCTGTGCAGCCCCCCTCCCCCTCTCTCTCTGGGACTTGTAATGAGCCGTGCGGAAGGAGCGTGGGGCGGGAGCGGGGCGGGACCGAGGCGGGCGCTGCAATTTGGTTTCCGGATGCACGACGCTTTGCGCGTTTGTCTGTTGGCGCGTGTGGGGGTAGGGGGTATAACGCTGTTGCCAGATCACGCGCTTCATCCTCCCCTTCCCCCCCCCCCCCCGGTCCGTTGGTATGATTAGTGACCCAGTCATGGAATACCGCACTTCTGCGTCATAAATTTCTCCGCCGAGTTCCTGGCGCGGCGGTCCATGCCGCCACAGCAGCAGCAGCAGCCGCGCTGCTAGCGCCAGCGCCTGTCAAGCGGGCGTCACCCCTTCACACGGTCGGGGAAGCAGGGTGGGGCGCGGGATAATGTTTACCGATGGTCGGCCGCCCTCTGATGTGGGCAAACTAGTATCTGATTGGATCAATTTTTAGAATGACCGTGGCTATACGTTTTACCTGCTTTGATTAATTGTTTGTGGCCGAATATTCAGAACGTAATGGTGAGGAGGTGTTTGGAGACGACTGGGTGTTTAGCCTTACAGCATTTTGAGGTAGGGTTTGATATCGGTTTTTGCCTTAGCCGTGTTTCCAAATTGTACGCTGGCCACCCTCTGGTTTCCATTAGTTTAGTGCGCGCGCTGTTCGACACACTCGTATCTGTGTGTGGGAGTGTGTTACATTATTTCATTACCCCCGACCCTCTGCTCCTCCTGACCGCGGGGCAGCTGCTGCGGCCGGTCTAACGCGCAGCCCCGCCCGACCTAGTCGGCTTCTGCTGGGATGACTCAATTACCTGAAGCCCCGCTCCGCCACGCCACGCGCCGACACCACGCGCCGCAACACACACAAAGTGCACTTCTCATTTAAGATTGAAACGAACCAGGCCACCTTATTTACCACCACCGCCACTACCGCCTCCGCCATTCCCCCTACCCCGCTACCCCC